CTCTGGATCAAATTCTAAAGCTTTGTCCAAGTATGCCAAAGCCTGGGATGCTTTCCCTTGTTCCAAAAATACGACACCAAGCTATGGAAATTTCATTATGGGAATTTAATTTAATTTTTGAATTAATTAAAAAAAAAATATTTTTAATATTATTTAATATTGATTGTATTCTTATTAATATTAGACAGCAACTCAATACTTACGTTATAATAGATATCAGGATTATTACTGTCATAAAATAGTGCTCGCTCATAAACTTCTTGAGCTTCTTTTGTACGATTAAGTTTAATTAAAACATCGCCACGATTAATATATGCTTGAGTATAATCAGCACGCATACTGATGGCCTGTCTGTATAATAAATCAGCCTCTTCTAATCTAGTTGCATTCTTAGCTATCAAGTTAGCCAAATTAACAAACACATTTAAATGATTTGGTGCTATACGTGCTTGATAAGATTCTCCCGGTTTCGCTTTTGGTAGTAATGACTTGGCCTAGAAAAAAAGAAGTAGAAGTTATCAAAAGAATTAGATAAATTATATAGATATTTACTGTTATTATTTACCTTCAAGTACGCGTCTTCAGCTTCTTTGAACATTTTTAGATGATTGTAAGTTCTTCCGACATTAATGTGTGCTCCAATATCGTCACCCTGAACTTGTACAGCCATATTGAAAAAATTTAATGCTTCCTTAAAGCGACCTTGGCTCTCTAACGCGTGACCCACGTTATTAAACAGTTTAGCGTTTCTATCGTTCACTTTTAAGCCAGACATGAATATTGAGTATTCATCTAACCAATCGTAATTTCTGACATATGTTTTCGTCGTATGTGCTGCCAGAAGTGTTACGAGTAAAAGTAACACTAGCTTCTTGCATCTGAAAGATGGTTTATGTGAGAAAAATATTCTCTATAATGTACGAGAACAATCCACACAACGTTACGTCCACGGACGAGTCAACTTACTTTTTGTCTGCCAAAATATTCCATCCATATCCAATAAGCATGCAAAACCCCATGGAAGGAGCGTACAACACCCTTTCAGCAATTACAAATCCGACAGGAAAGAAAAGATTCGACGCGGGTAAAAAAGGGAGTATCATCATAGCCAAACTCTGCAGGCATTATATTGGAAACATATTCGATATTAGTATTGTTAATTACAGAATCTGTATATACATTTCAAATAGAATACATGCACACATTTTATTCCACAAACACATACGATTACTCAATTACTTATATTCTCTATTAGATTATGATGTAATTGTGCAACGTTCTACTGACCATAATAAGAATGACTGACGTTTGTCTGCTACGTGTTACAACAGCTGTCACAAGCAATCCTAGTACAGTTCCGTGAGTAGCTAGGGTCGCGAGATTACGGACATCGGTAAAGCTTTCTACTAATGGTATCGTCCCCATTGTCCAATCACAGCACAAATCACTTGGAAGAAATAGCAGTCTTAGATTTACTGCAGCAAGATAATTATATGTAAGCTGTCTTGTTGGTGTTGTAGCAACTGATGCGGGATTGTCGAATCTAAAGAAGGTGTTCACGTCGCCATTAGTTTACACTATGAATAAAATTACACATAAATCGTATATATATATATATATATATATATTATATATATATATATATATATATATATACAATCCTACCTGGTAAATACAGGTAACTTTGAGCCCATTATATGTAACCGTAGGATAAGCAGGCTAAATGTAACAAGTGTAAGGGCGGTCAAACGTTTTGTACCCTCGCCTGACCATGCAGGTGAAATTTTATTACCACCAAAAGCTGATTTTAGTGCTAAGAAAATATCTCTTGCTCTAACCTGAATAAAATTACAAGCATTAGTATAATCTTACTATAGAAAACATAATGAATGCACATGGAATGAGTTTTACCTTCTGTACAACAAAAATTTCATACAGTACACAAACTGCAGTTGCTGTAATTCCCTGCTCCTTGCACAACATTGCAGTAAATACAAAAAACATAGATAATATCAAGGATTTCCACCCTGTAGATCTTTTGCTTTTGCAACATTTAGTATATGTGATTAAAGCTGCCAGGTAAAATAAGGAGGACAAAGTTTCTGCCCTACCAACTACACCTGTGACCTAGGAATATAATTACGGCCGTATTACCAATAACAATCGTTTGCAATAATAATTAAAATGTCTTTTCAAAATAATTAAAATGTTATTACGTACTGCTTCTGTGTGTATAGGATGCACAGCAAAAAATAAAGATGACACAAAACTTGCTGCTTCTGGCAGAAACATCAAACAGGTCCTGTAAACAATTTTTCTGCTATTTTTTTTTCTATTATTTGAAGCCTTACAGAAATAATTTTCTTTAATTCTGTTGCAGTAATGTTGCAAAAAAAAAATAAAAAATAAATGTAAACCAACCTGAAATATAATAGGCATACTCCAACATGTAGAATAACATTTAGCAGGTGGTATCCCATAGGATCTAGTTGATGAATCAGGTAATTCCATCGGAATGTGAGAACGCAAAGAGGTCTATAAGACTTGTGCGATTGTTCCTATTAAAAAAAAGGAGAAAAATAATTGATCAACTTGGACCAATTTTAATGTAATTAATGCAACACTTTTAATGCAATTATTGTTAAAAGATAAATACGAAAAAAGTATCTAGGAAGATGATGTTCTGCAAATATTTTACACATATTAAATAATTTTTTTTAAATAATATTCAAATAATATAGCTCATATTTGTTTGGTTTTTTCTTATTTAAAGTAAAAAATATTTTTGATTCTTCAAATAATTTTGATGTTTTTTTATATACAATGTATACAACCTTTAACAATGTATTATTTTCTTTACAAATAATTAAAAAATTGTAGATGACAAAAAAATGGTAAAAAAATCACAAAACAAAATTGCAGATTGCATACATTCTCTATCCCTTACAATTTTTTTCCGATTATCTAGAACCATTAAATTAAAGATATATAACGTGCTCGACGATGATAAAAAAATTTAATGTCGTTGAAATTATCACGTATAATTTTAAAATGTTGTTATTATACTAAAATAGAATTTTCTTGCATCTTTTTTATTTATAACGTAAATCAATATAAAACAGTTTATTCTGTTTTGTTAAATTCATATAAAAAAAAATTGTAATATTATTATCGATATTATAGATACAGAAAAATATTTATTTGTTAATATATGGAAAAATAGAAGATAATTATTTATTTACTTCTCGGGAAATTAATGTGTTCTAAATCTGAATTTCTTGTTGAAACTATACATCGATTTCGAGAGAACCGATTCAGTGCTCTTGAAATCGATAAAATTCTAGTGACATCAGTTGTCGAGGAGCGAAGATAAGTAAAAATCTAATATTTGCCAATCGCCAAAAGCAAACACGGGGGATCATTCTCGCGTACTGATGCGAGAGGCAAAAATTCGAGATTTTCGAGGCCATATCGATTTTGATCCCCGCTCCGTATCGAATGATTCCGGGGGTGCGCGGAGAGGCAGAAGATGAGGGAAACGGAAGAAGACAGGACGGGGGATCGGATCGGGATGAAATGGACAGGACGCTCGCGGATCAATACGCAGGGGGCCATCTATAGAAGAGGAGGGGGTGGAGGGAGGAGGGAGATCTCGGCCGCGCGTCCTCCAGCAACGGGGGTCGGACGATGCCTCCTCTTTTTCTCTCCCTCTCTCGCCCTCGCTTCCTCCTCCCACCCCCTCTCTCTCTCTCTCTCTCTCTCTCGCACCTTGTGCATCGGGGTGCCCCAGAAGTCATTGTAGAAAACATTCTTGAGGGGCGTGTGGGGCCTGAGGTCGCGGTTGTCCTTGATCGCCGAGATGTCGTCGAAGACGAAGCCGCAGCCGAGGCTGTTGAAGTACACGGCGAGCGCGGTTATCGCCACGATCGCCGCGAGTGCTCCCCGCGCAGGCACTCCCATCACAAATAAAACATCGATCGGCCGGTCGCCTTTCGTTTCTTTCTCCCGCAAATCAGCCGCGGGCACCGCCGGAGCAAACGGAAGGAAGAACGTTCTCCCTTTCGCTTCTCCTACTACCGTCTTCTCCCTCGCTCTCTCTCTCTTTCTTACACTCTCTCTCTCTCTCTCTCTCTCTCTCTCTCTCTCTCTCACGCTCTCGCAGATGCTCTCAACCGTAGGAACTCCACGAGGGACGCACGAATGTCATTTCCACGTACGTCGACCGCGTAGCCGCGTCCGCGTTTAGGCACATCACAACTGATCCAAACTGATCCCGACGCGTCGCGATTCGCGATCAAGTACCAGCGCGAGTGCCGGCGAGCCCAAGAACCGCGTCGCGGCCTCTCGCCGACATAGTCGTCACCGGTGCGGGGCAACGACCCGGCGGGAGTACGGCGACGGTCTCTCCCGTAGGTCTCTGCCGTCTCTCCCGGTCTCGCGCGAGTCCACTCCACTCCGTGACACACGAAGAGAGTCGCGTCGCGTAGAACACGATCACTGCGCGGGGGAGAGCTAGAGGACGTATCTACGTACGAACGTACCGCGCACCGCGATCGAGCTGTCAAACGGCGTACTCGCGTTGCCGTTGCGCACCGTGTCGGCGTCGCGACGCCAGCGACGCCGGCGTCGCCGCTGCGCGCGAAGCGGACCGAGGGTATAAGATCGGCGTAAGAAGTTTCGATTCGCGCGGAACGTTCGCGAGAATCTCAACGTTGAGAAAACCTGCCGGTTGACGTAAACGAAACAAATAAATTAAGAATCAACAGAGGCGATCTCCTCGCATTGATACACGTGGAGCTGGAGTTTGTGGTCTTTTAACTACCGTCCGGGTTCCGCGAAACGTCGATCTGTTATCCGCGAAGCATCCGAAACAAGCGTGTGCCGTTGTGAAATACAGATGGTGCTGACGGCCGACTTAAATATCCCCTCCGCTACCCGGTCAGCCGAATGCCGATCACTTCTCGTGTACATTCGTGCGGTAGCACGAATAGTGCGATACGCTCGTCACGTTTGGTGTTACCTCCCCCAAATGCATCACCGATGAATGCGCTCCCAGGCGAGGTGAACGCGGCTCACGTAGCCATAAAGTGAGCGAGATTCCGTGCAACGCTTCGCCGGGACGAGCGGGTTATCGTAATCGGAGCAAGTTTCATGACCTTCAACGTTTGTTGCTCCAAATCGGTAAGCATCACGTAGGCAGGCGAGTTCGTTCCTGTTCTTCTTTGTTTATTTCTTGGGGAGGGGAGATGGGGAGAGGAATGGTAAACGGCTGGCGATGCGCCTAGCGATCGTCCAATTTTCTCGATTTTCGGAGCGCAGAACTCTCGAGAGAGACTTATGTTTTTTGAAGAGATTGTAAATTGACCGAGACAATGCACACCAGTATTCATACTTTATGAATTATTTACAGGTTTTTTCTTTTTTTTTGTGCCTCTTGCAGTTGATTTGTATTTTCATTAAATCACAAAAGGCAGGATATAGTTTAACCTTGTAAATTTTTTAAGATTTTCGCAAGCATTGTAAGGTCTGTTTTTTGTGGCTGGACTGATATACGCTTTTGGAATTAAAGTGAGATGGGTATATGTTTGACATTTGGCACACACACACAAAAGTGAGAGAGTACTAGTACAAAAATAAAAGACAGACTTCTTAACACAATAAAGATATCACATACGTGTGAATTGACGTTAACAACCAGAAGTTGATTCATTGGATTGTTGTCAGTGTTGACTTGTTGGTGATAGATCTAAGTATCCACTATGCTGCGAAGGAAACAGCAAAGGCATCGCCCCATCGGGGAAGATACCCGAATCGCAGTGAACTTGACTGTAAAAAAATTGTTGAGCAGCCCGGATCAGAAGGAACTGGAGTTTCCATCGTCGTACACAGCAGAGGAGCGGGCGTACATCCATGAATTGGCTAGAGAGCTGGGCTTGAAGTCAAAAAGTCGAGGGTATGATGAGTAATATATATTAAACATGCTACGTTTCTTCTGTCTTCTCTACGATAAACTCACACTAATCCTACTTTACAGAAAAGGTACAAATCGCTTCTTGACAGTGTACAAGAGAGAAGGTTCAACAATAGTTCAAGCTGATGCTGTGATAAAATTGCAAAAACATTCGAAGCAGGGTATATATAATTTAATGCAGACTTTCCCATTAAATCACAAGGAATGCCAAGACTTGCTTCCTCCGATTGAAAGAGAACGCCCTCTTAATAATGATGGTATGCAAAATTTTGATCATAGGTCAATCTGATTTTTTTTCTATCTGATTATTTGTATTTAAAAATTATAGAATGTATTACGCAATTACTAATCCATATTAATATCTGATCACAATTTTGAGAGATATTTTCACTTTTTGCAGTAAATACAAATACTAAGGCTATGGGAAGGTTAAACAACAGCATACCACAAGTTCCTCAATTAAAAACTAATTTTGATGTGCTGCAGTTCCGCAAATCTCTGCCAATTTTTAACGCGAGAGATGAAATTCTTAGTGCACTAAACAACCATCAAGTGATCATAATAGCAGGTGAAACCGGATGTGGCAAAACCACGCAGGTGCCACAATATATCTTGGAACACTATCAACAGAAGCATCAACCTTGTAGAATCATTTGCACACAGCCCAGGCGCTTGTCGGCTGTATCTGTGGCCGAGAGAGTAGCGTTCGAAAGGGACGAAAAAATCGGCCAGACTTTCGGATATCAAATAAGATTGGAAAGTAGAGTAGCTCCTAAAACTCTTCTAACGTATTGCACGAATGGAGTATTGCTTAGGACTTTAATGGGCGGCGATTCCGCCTTAACTACGCTCACGCACATCATTGTTGACGAGGTTCACGAACGTGACAGATTCTGTGACTTCCTTTTGATAGCTTTGAAGGATGCATTAGTTAAATATCGTTCCTTGAAGCTGATACTTATGAGCGCCACAATGGATACTTCTATCTTTGCCAAGTATTTCAATAAATGCGTAGTTGTTAACGTTCCTGGTCGATCATACGATGTGGATGTATACTTTTTGGAAGATATTTTAAAAATGACTGGTTATATGACGAAGGAAATGCTTGTAAAGAAGAAGGAGTTTTTAAAGTGGAAAGATAAACAGAAGACTTTGGAATCCTGGAAACAATATAAACCTCAGCATTCAAATAAAAATACTAAAAGCGAGAAGAGTTTATTGCCTGCTCCAATTTTAGCCCAGCAGAGCGATCCTATACCGGAAAAAGTTAAGCTAGAACCCTGGCTGATAGAGGAAATGGACAAAAGTATTTTCGATGCATGGGTAAATGGTAGAGAGGATAATTTTGCGCAACTTTTACATTTTATACTATCTGAAAACGTTTCTGTAGATTATCAACATTCGGAGACTTTTATAACACCGTTGATGGCTGCCGCAGCTAGAGGTTGCATAAACACGACTGAGCAACTTCTAAATCTAGGTGCGAATCTCAATTTGAGGTCTGCTAACGATTGGACCGCGTTAGACTGGGCAAAGAGCAGGAATCATACCGAATGCGCTGAATTGATCGAAGCTTACATGAAAACTTATGATTGTGCGGTACCGAATAACGAACTGGCGCAGGTCACGGAGACGTCACTCTCCGAAGAAGATAAATTATTACTCGATATATATCATCATACGTTCAATGATGATAATATCGATTATGAACTATTGTTAGAATTGGTCTTTTACATCCATTTAAAAATGCCTGCCGGCTCTATTTTGATATTTTTACCGGGATACGACGACATAGTCACAATGAAAGAAAAGATAAATGCGGAAGACAAGAAGATGAATCAAGGTTTACGCTACAATTTGTTCGTTCTTCACTCGAACATGCAGACTTGCGATCAGAAGAAGGTGTTTAAACCTAGTCCTCAGGGCACGCGAAAGATTATCCTTTCCACGAATATATCGGAGACTAGCATTACGATCGACGATGTCGTGTACGTCATTGATTCTGGAAAAGTTAAAGAAAAGTCTTTCGATGCTATATCAAGTGTTTGTACATTGACTTCAAACTGGATATCTCAAGCTTGTGCAAAGCAACGGAAAGGTCGAGCAGGTAGATGCAGGAGAGGAATCTGCTATCGTTTGTTCTCTTCGATCCGATACAGTAATATGCAGGCTTATCAAACACCTGAAATTCTACGATTACCGCTGCAAGAACTCTGCTTATATACGAAACATTTAACGTCGGGAAACACACCTATAGCTGAATTTCTGGATAAAGCTCTGGAGCCGCCGTCTAACGTAGTAACCAGGAATGCAGTACAATTATTAAAGACAATCGATGCATTAGATCCGTGGGAAGATTTAACTGAATTAGGTAGTCATTTACTAGATTTGCCAATTGAACCAAGACTCGGGAAGATGCTATTATATGCCGTTGTCCTCAAATGTTTGGATCCCATTTTAACGATTGTTTGTAGTTTAGCATACAAGTGGGTATATATTTAAATAATAATTATAGTAATATTATATAAATTATTATTTACAATTGTTTTATGTATAAAACAAATTATTGCAGAGATCCTTTTATATTACCATCACAACCGTCGCAAAAGAGAGCTTTGACTGCGGCACGAAAAAAATTTGCCACCGCAACGTACTCGGATCATATGGTAGTCCTCCGAGCGTTCCAAGGCTGGCAAAACGCCAGAGCAACCGGCAAGGAACGTGCTTTTTGCGAGAAAAATTTTATCTCCGCTCCCGTAATGGAGATGGTAGTTGGAATGCGTACTCAGCTTCTCGGTCAGTTGCGCGCGTCTGGCTTTGTCAGAGCCAGAAGTCCCGGGGACATTCGAGACTTAAATTCAAATTCGGAAAATTGGGCTGTCGTGAAAGCGGCTCTGACCGCGGGCTTGTATCCCAATTTAATTCGAGTTGATCGGGAGCACATGCAGCTACGGACACAGTATGTACAATTATTACATTCAAGAAGCTTGGATGATTTGTTGGTACTGTACAACATTGCTGTTGACACTCTGTTACAGGAAAGAGGTCAAGGTATTCTTTCATCCCTCGTCGACGTTAAGAGATTATCCAAAATCTTCGAGGATGACGTCCGCGCAAACGCATTGCACCAATGTGCAATCTTTACCGTGCGACTGGCTGCTTTATGAGGAAATGAGTCGTACAGGACGTTTCTGTCATGTGAAAGTCGTTACAGCCGTAAATCCATTAACTGTAGCATTATTTAGTGGACCAGCTAGATTACCAATGGATGTAATCTACGAAGCTGAAGGTAAGCAACTTCACATATGCACACACGGCGTATTTTCTTTTCATAACGTAAAACATATTTGTGTGTGCACAAAAATATTTCTACTGTGTTTGCAGCTGTACCGGAAAGCGAATCGGATTCAGAGGTTGATGAATTTCATGAAGGAACCATTTTTAAACTTGATGATTGGGTGGTGTTTAAACTTGATCCTGAAGCAGCTCAACTGTTTTTACATTTGCGGCAGAAGTGGAACGCCTTATTCCTCAGACGTATGAAAGCACCAAACAAGGCAATGTCGGCATTAGATGAAAAAGTTATTAACACTTTGGTAACTGTAATCACGAATGAGGAACAGGCGTGTGGCCTCCAGCAGCCCGCTGGCATCGGCCAACGTCCGCGTCCGTTAATCGTCGATTATTACCCTGCAAATGTTAGAAGAGACGATTATCCGGAAGTAAGTCCATAGTATTTGGTTCGTGCTACTTCTGTACATAATGTTTATTCATACAAGTATTAACATGATCTATGCATTTTTAGAGATATTTCTAAAGCAAGAAGAGGAAATGTAGTCTGTTGTGTGCAATGTATGATTTGCGATTTTTTGGTCATCAGTTGCAATGACCAATCACTGTATCTATAATGCTGTAGCTAAATCACTTTTGTTGATAGCGATATTTATAAAAGATATATAGCGTGGTATTTATGGATATTTATTGCGTGTATAAGTTATTCATATAAATATTATACATTCTAATTTACAGTATTGACAAAGACTGTTATGATATAATAAGTTTTTGAGTAATACTCATATAACACTTGTGATCCTCTTTGCAGAGCCTTCGTTAAAGTAACAATATTTAAGTTTTACTATGATATGTTAACTTTTACCCTTAAGATGGGATATCCTTTTATTCTTTAGTACGAAAATAATGAAGAATGCAGATAAAAGATTGATATATCAATTATCAATGTCGGTATATATATCTTTCCGCAACGGGTCCGTTCCATCAGCGTAAATTTGCGGATGTAAAATTATTATATAATGATTATACGTAATTTCGCAGCAGTTGGAAATGTGTATGCTTTAATCTGATCCTTTTCTTCTGGAAATAATGTAAATAGGCCTTAAACCTATGTATCTCATAAAAATATGTGATATATCGCATAGGCACTAAACTCTAACTTAACTTTTGTACTATGTATAATGTGTATGTCATATTTTAAATGCTCTCTCAATAGCTGGGATAAATTAAGTAGGCAATTACATAATGAGGGAGAGAGAATGTGAAATTATTATTATGCGTTATAAGGTAGTATTTTCTTGCAAAGTTTTATATAGAAGTTTTGATTATTGTTTAAAGAATAGAATTAGCGATACTCTTTTTTGTACATGTGTAATATGTACAACCAAATTTGTGTACACTTACCATTAATAGGTACTGAATGCTTGCTTCATATTCAATCAATATCGATTAAAATTTGACCTTTTAATATATAATATATCTTGATATATAAAGGAGCGCATGGTCTACAAATTTATCAGTAAATGTTTTATTTTATTTTGATTTTGTGATTTTATTAGCGTTACAATTTTTAGTGATTATATATACATGGCTAAGTAAATATCAACCATAAAGCTATAGCAATAGCAACCTTTTAAGTGAATTGTAATACTGGTTAATGTGATAACAAAACATATAATAAAAATTAGGGAAAAAAATAATAAGGATATGTTAATGTAATTCTCATTTTATTTGTGGATCTTCACCATGATTGATTCGACGCGAACTTTGATCCTACTCCATTCCACGTAACGTATAATACACGGCGATTATTAATTATAGATAATAATTATATATTTATGTCTCAGGATGTCTAAAGTCCAAAATAAAAAAAAAATCACAAATATAAGTCGTATAATTTAAAAAACGAAAGATTTTTCTTATAATCTTCTTTTCTACACTGAGAGAAAAAAATATATTTGTACCAAATATTAAATAGTGCCGGTATTTAATATATAAATGTACACACATTAATTTCATTTAATTATAAGTATATTTTTTTAAACAAATATTTATTCATATATATATTATACTATATATTCTGTAAATAAACGTTATATATAGTATTATTCAAATAATTATTAAAATTTAGTACATTTTTCACTCAGTGTATTTTAGACTCTTGTCCTGAAGTATCGACATGCGTATTAAAAATCATCCTATATAGTGTACATGTACGACATGTATAGACTCATTGCATCATGAAATAAAACAAAAATTCTGTGTATTATATTTACTATTATAATGTACATTTCCAGTGAGATTATTTGAAAAAAAAGCTGCGTATCAAGTTGTTTTGAAGTTTTGATGATTTACGAGCGTCGTCAATATCAAATTCGTAAATAAAATGGAACATTCTGTCACGTTTTTACGGTTTTTTTCTGCATACTTGATTTATAATTACGTCATTATTTATTTTAGTCGTAATAACAGAAAAGATGTACAAAGCGTGCTCTATATACCAAATAAAAAAACATTAAAGGCAGCGTTGCGTACACGCGTGTGACGCACGTGTTGCTTCAGATCGCATTGTCATTCATGCAATCTCGACCACGTGATCGCTCGACGATCTTGGTTATGTCTTTAAACCACAGATTTCTAAATCTGTGCTTTAAAACGCCCGATGACGTGTGGCCGAGTGAATACGATACGAAGCTCCTCTTTCCCACTTAAAGTGCAGAAAATAATAATACTTACGAGATTTAACTAATTTTGAGTGTGTGATTATTTCAGAACACTTTGCGGCGCCTCGTAAGACGCTTGTCATCTGTTCCGTTTAAATCGCGTTTGATAATCGCCGCCGCGAGTTGTCGATAGCATGATTTTAAAAGGATCTGAGACGCCGCTTTGAGATGTTATCTGTCCTCCGGAATTCTTGCCGTCTGTCAACAGCAGATCGAATTTTGGAACGATCTGGTAGATTCTGGCCTAACCTGTCGTCCCTCGTACGCTGTAAATCAGGTGAACTTCTGGCATCTAACTTTACCTGACGATTTGTTACTGTTTTATTTTTCTTTTCAACAATGCATGTCACAGATTAATTATTTAATGTTTGTCTGTTTTAGAGAATATAGTTGTGACTATCGCTGACGTATCGAAAGAAGTGAGGCCAGCAAGCAATCCAGAATATGTTCCAAGAAAATACTGTTAGTATTGCATTTTGTTGCTTAAACTTTATAAGATTAGTTATCTGATAAAATCAACTAACAGTGACATTACATAATTACTATTCCCAAGCAGAACAAGTCATTGTAATATCGAAATGATGTCAAAATGATTCCAAAATGACCATTAAAAGTCATTTTTCAGTCATCGTTTCAGTCATTTTCGATTTTTATTTTAATGTCATTTTGCTGTTATCGTGATTTGTTGTTCTGCTTGGGTTATAATGTCCCATTAATAATATAAATGTAATATAACACATGTATGTAACATTAAATCTGCTTTTTTATTTCTGGGTATCGATCATGTAACTTTTTTTCTGGAACGGAAACATGAAAAGTGAAAAATTTAATGCATACACATACTCTCTAAATTTCATAGAGTGAAATCTAACTCTAAAAAGTGAAAATTGAGCCAATTTTTTGTATGTATGTATACTTTCTAAAATTTTTAGGATAAATCTCACCCTGAAGAGTGAAATCTCACTTTTAAGGATTGAAATTGAACTATTCTTTTTTAAGATTAGCTTAATTTTCATTCTTTAAAGTGAGATTTCACTCTAAAAAATTTAGAAAGTATGTGTATGCATTAAAATTTTCACTTTTCACGTTTCCATTCTAGAGGGAAAGTTATACAATCGATACTTTGCACTAGACTGCACTAGTGTATTTTCTTTCTTGCATTGCCAAATATCAAATACCCCAATTGACACAAACTGGAAGTAGTATTACATCAATGTTATAATTTTTCTCTCAGCAATCCAACTATAACACATAATGTTACGTATAACAATTACATTATTGCAAAATTATAACGTTGATGTTGTGTTATTTTTAGTTTGCGACGACTAAGATATATTTATTTTACTTTAAATTCCAAAAATGTATATTAGTTCAGTTATAGAAAACAATCCTATTTTTTTTAGTTAAAAATTATTGTTGAATATGGAATTATAATATTGATATAATGTTACTGTTAATATTTACCAAGTAATAGTTCGTTAAAGATTCAATTTAATTTTCTGCTATTTTATTTTTTTTTGACAGTATTAAGTACCCACTCTCAGGAGTCACTGAGGCATTTGAAATGGATGCTCCAGAAGGATGTTTTGCGACAGGATATGTTCCTGATGGGCGGACCGGGTATAAGGAGGCGCGAGCTCGCGCTTGCCTTCCTAGAGTTAACAGGACGAGAACTAGAATTCATCGCGCTCACCCGCGATACGACAGAAGCGGATTTGAAGCAGAGGAGAGAAATCAAAAGCGGTACCGCGTACTATCACGATCAGAGCGCCGTGAGGGCTGCTACCAACGGGCGAGTACTCTTGATCGAAGGTGTGGAAAAAGCGGAGCGAAACGTGTTGCCCGTGCTAAACAATTTACTAGAGAATCGCGAGATGCATTTAGAAGACGGTAGATTTCTTATTCCGGCGTCCCGCTACGATAAATTACTGAAGGTACGAATCTGTCTGTGATTTACGTAGAGTTCCGTGCTTACACAACACAAAGTCTAAAATTGGGACACAAGATATCTAAAGTCAATATTCATAGTTTATTTTTATTCGAAGATCGTCATAAAATGCCATAAACCAATTACAGAGTCGTATTAACTGTCCTAAGACGTTAGAACAGTCTTGAAATAAAAATTATTATTATGAATATTCTAATGATTAATTTAAGACTGTACTTATAATATGGTCTTAAATATAAGAACGAACTATGAATACTTTATGATGTCTTTTAGAAATTTTTTATAAAATATGTTATGTCCTAATTTTGGACTTTTTGTGCTATCTGACTGATTTCTTCATGAAACTATTAGCCTGTTCTTCTTAGCTAAACTTTTTGCACGGTTTATCTTTTCTCTTTTTCTTCCCAACGTGAAGAGAAAAGGGAGAAAAATGAACCATGCAAAAACTTGAGTTAAAAAGAACAGACCTAATGCCAACCTCTTATTTGTAAATAATATGCGGGGAATTATTTGCAGATGCACACTCAGGTGGAGTTGGACAAGTGGCGTCTCGTGCGAGTCAGTGAAGATTTCATAGTAATAGCACTGGGTTTACCATCACCGCGATATCCTGGTCATCCTTTAGATCCTCCTCTCAGATCTAGGTTCCAGGCTCGTCACATTCCGCCTCCGACGTTCGAGGTAAGTATATTCAATTCAATTGCGTATAATTTTAAAAAAATTAATAACATCGACCAGAGAGCAATTAACCAAATAAATAGATTTCGTGTATAATAGATACCTGCGTTAAAATGTTATATCAATCTTACCTTTTCAGAATATATCGCGCGCTATATCGAATCGAAGTAACGTTCAGAAAAGTCATTAAACAAGTTTCTGATTGTATAGCGATGCGGCTTCATCAAAACTTCGTCGCGGAAATTCGCGATCGTACCTATTCATACGTACGATTGCCTGACTCATTATTAAAATTGCCCCCCTCCGACAATTAAGGGACATAAGTCTGATTTATGTCTCAATTACGCTCTCAGTCGTTCGACTATCAGATGTAACTGTTATAAAAGTACCAGGAAGCAACAATTTGATAATTTAGCGAGGACTTTGAGGGAATGTCGTATGTAAAACTATCCGCTCGCGCGTCTCGAAGGAGACCGGTATAACTCGCGAAAGTTTCCGTCTGATTTATGGGGCCGGGAGTGGCGTACCATTAGGCATGGGGTGCGGAGGTCACACGAAAACCCCCTCCGCAGGTACCGTTCCATCCCTTCCTTCCGGTGCTCCTCTCGTTCGCATATAAACGCGGGCTCGTGGCTGCGCTATGGTCACAGGCACCGCGCGGGGCTTGGATCGCGTGTCCCAAGCAGTCGAATTTCGAAACTCTACCTGTCCTCTTGTGCACGCCCGCGAGTCGATACGTCGGGATTCAAACGGCAGCTTACGTATTAAAGGAGGAAACGCGAAGCCGTCGGTTCTCCAAGCCCTGGCACAGTTCGATAGCGCGGTAATGTCAATCGCGACGACACGTCGAATATAATTGCAGATTACGTCCTCCCTCTTTGTTTGAAATTTTTCGCGAGACGGTGCCGTGACAATGTCATCCGCGGAATAATATTTATGCGTACTCTCGTTTATTTATTAGTAAAGGATATTGAGAGATGTGTCAACTGTCGAGCTGTTTGATCTGTCGTTTTTTACCCCCGACAATTTATAACTCCGAATAACGTGTTAAATAAATGATAAATTACAGATATTAAATTTTAAATCTAACGTTAGTTATTTATTGCGCGGTGTTAGGGTATAAAATTATTGAATCCTGAAATAAAATTGAGCGTCAAGTTTTTTTTATCGGACCTTGAAACGTTATTTACCGCTGGAGATAATTATTAATACCCTTGCGCGCCCCGTGTCGCGTTATGCCGGCTATATGGGCATCATCGGAGAGGCCTTTATTCGTCCGAACTGTCTGGGTGGACGGTATGCGTCACGCTGTCCTGACACCCGACGATCCCGTCGTTAATTCACGGCTGCGTCGACATCCACGAGCGTCCATGGAGAAGAGTTTCCCCACGAAACATCAACAGGTCGAGACCAGGCTGGATAGCTTGAACAACTGCTTCATGAATCTGCACG